ACCCCCAACCCCCACCCCCTGAAAGCCGTCACCGCAGGGGCCACATTTTTTATTTTTTTTTGTCATCCGTTGCCGATCCCCCCCCCTACCCACCTGCGTCGACGAATCGCAGTTTGGGGGAAGCTCGAATTTTTCGCGCTCCACCTCACACCCATGTTTAGGGCCCCCCCGTTTTTTATTTTTTTTATGGTCTGCTTCTTCGAGGGGGTGGGGGACCCTCCCCCCAACTCGAAACCCACCCCCTGACCCCCAAACCCCCGCCCCGATCGGCCGCGGCCGCAGCCGGAAGTTCATGAACGGAGCTGCCATGACCGGGGAGGTCCCGTCCACGGCCGGCGGTCGCGGCCATGGCCGAACTCGGTCACGGCCAGGGGGATACATAGCCGTGCATTTCATGCACCCAAAAACTTTGCCTTTTGTCGAGCGATCAGTTCCCTTCAGTTCCCTTCCTCTTGACAATCAACGCTGCCCCCACCGACAGTAGGACACGTTGGCGTTAACTGCATTGTGAAGCGTTTACTGTCAAGAAGGGATTCAGGCACCCAGATTGTTGTCAACTTCTTGAGGTTCTTGCTGGCAGTTAATCCCCACTAACAGGGCAATCAATGCTGGCAGGTTGTTGCTGTAAAGGGACGCCGGACCTGTTTTCCAGCAGGTGCTGCTCTGCAACAATAGACTGGAGCATCCAGGATTCTCGCTAGGGGGTGTGCTTACCACCTCTCCTAGCGAGGAGGCAGTTTGTTCAACAAAAAAAAAAAAAACTTCTCAAGGTGAAGATTGATTGATGGTTCATAAGAGGAGTTCGTGAAGTCTGCGCCTCAAGTGGTTCTGCAGTACGAGAGGGCTCCAAGTGCCTTAGTAGAAGCTGCCTTAAGTGAAGACCGGCGTGAGGAAAATGTGGACGAAAATGTGTGGGCCTGAGAAAAGAATGGCGGGGGAAATTTTGAGCCCGAGGAAAGGGCTGGCAGGGGAAATTTTGGGCCCGAGAACAGGTGGTAGAGAGGCTGGGACCCAGACTCAGACCCAGTAGATAAACAGGCATTACCTACTGGGCCCAGATGCAGCCTGAACAGGAGGGAGCCATTATGCATCAGATTTGGGCAGGGACGCCGCTCCCGGCAGTGCTGATGAGCAGCAGAGGCCGCCGGAGCGGCGCCCAAGTAAGCAGCAGCAGTAGAAAAGGCCTCCCGACGGGTGCCCAAGGAAGAAGCAGCAGTTGTGGTGGCTACTGCCTGGTGCCATAGCTGCTCACCATAGCCGGTGGGCAACTAGCAGGGCACCAGGGCAGCAGAGTGGCAGAGAGCGTGGAAGAGAAGGTAGGCAGTGGGGACTGGCACTTCTTACCTGCTGTTGGTGGAGGTTGCCTGTGTGAGCCGAGTCACCACACGCCATCCGGCGAGTGACACACAGACAGAGGGTGAGAGTGTAGTAGCCTAGCGTGAGTGGAACTAGGAAGTAGAGCCGAGCGGTCACATCACAATAGGGCTACTGCCCTTGTTGTTGCATTTGATTACTGGGGGCGCAAGGTGTGTGTATTCACTATTGGAGGTGAAAAGTAGGGCTTTCACCATCAAGAGACGCCAGTGTTCTGTTCGTTCCTATATGGCGTGGTTACTGTGGTATCTATCGGCGTTGGCATATTCTGCTTTCAACTTCGCTCAATCATGCTTGTTCTTCTATGAGCATTGACCTGTCACAGTTTGGCAAATTGGTGTCCCCATTGCAATTGGAAAGACCTCAGATTAAGGGCTGATAACAGTGATAAGGAAAAAATGGAGAGGATCTTGAAGATATCAGGGTAATAACTCACTCTGCCCCTTCCTCTTTCACTCTGGTGTTCCTTCCCCCTCATACCGCCCCCCTCTTCATTCCCTACCCCCATACGGACCAAGCAGAAACACTGTCCTTGTACTTTGCCAGGGACTTCAGCATCAGGGTAATAACTGTCTCTCAGGGGCACATACAGAACAAGGGGACAAAGCCACTACAGCGTCCCGCACAACGCAATGCTTCCCACCAAGACAACACACCAGGCACAGTGACATCGGTAGGTAGGACCAACAAACAAGCAAACAAGGTGCAGTGCCATTACGTGGGCCCCACCCAAAATGCTTGCCAACAAGCCAACAAGCCAACAAGCCAACAAACAAGGTACAGTGCCATTACCGGGGGGGGTCCAAAAAGCAAGCAAAAGCAAACCAATTACAGTCACGAGTGAGAGAGTTGGATAACACATTTGCAAGGAAAATGAGCAATAGTGAGGGAAGCTGCTTCCTTTTTAGAAGGGTCTGCAGCTCGATGGTTACATGGTCTAGTGCAGCAGCAGGGTTATGGTCAGAACTTTGATGCCTGGGCCCAGGCCCAGACATTAGAGGACTTTGTACGGACTGTGTACAACAGGTGGCATGACCCTCAAGGTCAAAAGGGCACTGACGAAATCAACAGTCTCGGTTCCAAATGCGAAATTGACAGCATTGGGCCTCTCGTGATTTGCTAGGCCCGCCTTCACTTAGGGCAGGCACACTTGTATTAGGGGCCCCTTAGGCCTGCCGAGGAGCCACATCCTCGCACTTTTGATTTGATTGTCCTAACCACTCCTGACCATGCATGCAAGCGGACGCCGTGAGGAAAATTCCTTACGCTTGGTGCGGCACACGGGGGAAATATTCACTGAAAAAAAAAAATGGGGTCGCATGGCTGGTCAATGGTCACCTGCATCCCCTTCAGAGATCCGTTGTGGGATGGGGAAAAAAAAAGAAAAAAAACCTAGCAGGAGGGTAATGCCGCTACCTAAAGGTCAAGACTGATGTCCCAGACACCTTTTTGAGGCTATTTCTCATGCCCACTTGGACGGAAAGAAAAATCTGTACGACTGTACTTGAGAAAAATCAGTTCCTTGGGTGTTCCACTCTTCTGTATCCACAAAAACAGCAAAAAAAAAAAAAAAAAAAAAGGGAAACTGCCGCTGGTACGGCGCACGAGCAGGTGCCGCGCTGCACGCCGTGCAGCGCATCGGACGCTACGGCGCACGGTATGGTTGCAAGTATACTCCTGACTCAACCAGCCAGGTGCGGTCAGAATAGCTTCATAGTTTGAGCAAATCTCACTCCGCGTTCATATTTTTTCACAATCCGCACTTCTGCTGGCTGTGCTTGCGATGGAAGCTGGCTTCTGTGTTTGGCAGTTACGACCAGATTGACGATACAGATATGGGTTCGCCAGCTCATTGACACAGCAGGCACCTTCCCTTCCCAGAGGGAAGGAGAGGTTGCTTATGAAGTTGGTTGGTTGTGGTTTGAACCTATGATCTTCTGCAGTCGGATGGGCGCATAGAACTAGATAGGCAACACCAGAGAAGGGGGGGGGGGGGGGGGGGGGGGGGGAGGGAAATGACAAACAGGGTGAGACAACGTGAAACTGAGTGTCTGTGACACACTGTTCGGTCACACTCTCACCAGCCAGCTGTTCGATCAGGAGNGACGTGGATGAACTCGGAAGAAGGCACAGAGAGCGCAGGGAACCGCACAACACGCCCGAGGCCAAAAAAAAAAAAAAAAAAAAAAAAAAAAAAAACAGACAAGGCAACAACTAATCGAGAAATATTCAAAGGCTGTCTCTTATACACATCTAGATGTGTATAAGAGACAGGCTATATACATATATGATGAGGCTCAAGAATCTGAAGGGTTGTGCTATGTAGACAAAAAAAAGACAGACATGAAAACCCTGAATTTTTGAAGTCGATCAAAATCCCTCATCCCTGGCAAAACGCGGGTTTTCCCGCCTTGCCGGTGGTTCTTGAGAGGCATTCCCTTGATGCCCTCTACTTCTCACAATCAGCCACCTCAAGAGCCTCTCATCTTGTCGCAGACCCTGCAGTTCCTTCGGGAAATCTGGCGTGGACATAAAAGTCATTTGCACCATCTGGGCCTGCAAATTGAAACGAGCAAAAGTCAGAAGGAAAAAAAGAGAACCAAAAAAAAAAAAAAAAAAGCTCCAGCAATGGGAAGGTTCACGGTACGCACCATTAGAAAGAAGAAAGTTTTTATGGCAAAAGTTCAAAAAAAAACTTACAGAGCTGTTGAAGGTGCAAAATACTGCAAACCTTCTTTTTTTTTTTCCCTTTTCTTTGTGTCTTTTCTTTTTTCTTTTTTTCTTTTTTTTTTTCTTTTTTTTTAAAGCTGCCCTCTCCTCATCGGGGGACATCCAGATATTTTTCTCTCACCTCACATACTTTTTAACTGGCGTTCCGCCATGTCATCGAACATATCTTTCGTTCATTACCTACCTACCACTACTCCCAAGGGTATACAGGGGACCCCCTGCAAGCATAGCTTTCTACCTCTCTGCGTTGAAGGGAGGTTACCTCTCTCGGTGGAGAGAGGAGAGAGGTAACGGCATGTTTGCGCCGTTGCCCTAGCGTTTTAGGGTGCAGGGTTGGGGCCGCCGGTGGGGCCCCGACTAACACAAGGACGGAGCATTTGCCAGTAAGTAACTGTGCCTCCCTTTTCATCTTCCCCCACCCCCATCGAGTAACAGTGACAGTAGTGTCTAAAGCCAACATTCTCCCACACACCACACGCAACGCACTCACACCCGTGTTGTCTGAAGACCTTACTGATACTGACTGGGAGGATCCAGCTGACTATCTCAGTTGGCTAGCACCACTTGCGTGCCTAAAAAAAAAAAAAAAAAAAAGCCAGTGGCATTGAAAATGCCTAACAATGGTCAAAGTGTGAGGAAATATACTAAGATGTGTACTGTCTTCCCCCAAGCATGATGACCATTGTATTGATGCCTTTCAGGAGGGAGACTTCCAGTCTAGATACAGCAGTATTCGGGGCTCGGGAGGAGGCGGTAGGGATCGGGAGCAAAATGTCGGATGAGAAAGAAAGAGGAGAGAGTGAAATGTCGAATGAGAAAGAAAGAAAAAGAGGGGAGAGAGCAGCCATCGAGAAGGGAGGCGGCCGCAACGAAAGGGGAGAAAGCTGCAAGCTGGTAATGCGAAGGAGGGGAGAGCACAGCACCCAAGCCCCTGTGCCGTTGAGAGAGCAGAGAGCAGAGAGCAGAGAGCAGAGAGCAAAATGTCTCACGGCTGAGGGCGGATGATGAAACGTTAAGACATCTAAAAAAAATGCCACTGGTATGCAACCTATCCCCCCCCATACAAGCACACATGCTGGATGGCAGTGAAAGCCCTGATTGCCCGGTTCCGAACACCTCTGCCGCACTGCGCAAGTCATCATCCCCGCTGCTGGAAAATTACCGACCTGCCCATTTCCATTTCCTCCTAGTGTCACTCACTCACTCCTCCTAGTGTCACTCACTCACTCCTCCAAGTGTCACTCATTCACTCACTCCTCCTCCTAGTGTCCCTCACTCACTCACTCCTCCTAGCGTCACTTGCTCCTCCTCAAGCACCACTTCTCCCTTCCGCACACTTGCCAATCGTCCCTGGTAGGACTGCCACAATCGGACTTGTCTCGTCAACAAGCGAGAACTGCAGGAGTCGCCCAAAGCTGTAGGCTGCTAACTTTCCTCCGAGTTTTCGAGAAAAAGAGGGAAAAATCTGCAGGTGGTTCAGAGTGAAACAGGGCGTCTCATTTAGTTAAGAGTCTGTAAGGCGGCCAGGAGTTGGTGCCAAATACCCACCCATACATACCGCCAAAATATCCATACCCCTTGCATGCTCCTCTACCACCGCAAAAGTGAAACCGCTGCGACCCCCCCCATTGCTGACTCTCAGTACCTGTGGCATACTGCGAAGCCACACGGGCCCTACAGGGCCCGTCCCAGACATTCAGCCTAAAAGCCTAAAACTTAGGGCTTACAGGCCCCGTTCATTTCAGCCTGGATGCTGAAAAACGAGGGCCTGCAGGCCCTACCTCGTTTCAGCCTATTTCTGGGTCTTTTCAGACCCAGAGTTTTCAGCCTGAAACGGAGGGCCATTTTCAGGCCCTCATTGTTTCGACCTGCTCCTAAGACTCAGGCACGGAAACA